CTGTCTTCTCCATGCCCCTCTTTCCTTTATTGTGCGACATGCTGTTGCTGCCGTTTGTTTTCTGGGCTTAAATGCTCATTAATTGCCGTTCAGGAGCGGAGCTGTTAAGCCATGCGACCGCTCCGGTATCCAGTCAGGCCACGCCCCCCCAACTTCAACATTTATAACTGCTTCTCTGGCTTACCCCTGGACCACCACATATTGCCCGAATGATTAACTCAGCCTTTGTCAGCCAGGCCCAGAATGATATCAAGAGAAAATTACAAAAGTTAGAGGGATTTGCAGGGATGTCCATATCGCAGTTAATGGAGGTTGCAAATATAGTATATATGAATAGGGAAACTGAGACAAAGCGTGAGGAGGAACGTAAAATGAGGAAGAAAGTAGACATGTTAGCGGTAGCTATCACAGGAGTAGCGAGACAGGGAGGGGAGATTGATAGAGGAGTTGAGAATAGGATGAGCAGGGTACCACTAGGTAGAGATCAATGTGCATATTGTAGAGAGGAAGGACATTGAAAGAGGGACTGCCCACAGAGGGGATATATTGTAGGTGGTAGACAAGATGAGAGAAAGGGGCAAGGTGGTTATGGTGGTAGCTTTAGAGGACGAGGAAGTTTTGGAGGAATTAATGGAAATGGCAGAGGGGGTGTTCAGGAAGGAAGATATTATCCCCCTACTCAGAGACCTAGGGATAGGGAAGATAGAGATTTTGTGGGTCTGGCTGACACGGTCATGGAAGACTATTGATACCGACCGGGCTCCATCCCCCTTGGCCGAGCGGAGCCTATGGTCGATGTAACAAAAGGGGGAAAGAAGTCCTTTCATGATTGATACGGGTGCTGAACATTCTGTGGTGACTAAGTTGGTAGCTCCTCCTTCTGGAAAGACTGTAACTGTAATAGGAGCTAATGGGAGAAGCGCTGCTAGACCAATTCTCAGGAGTCGCACTTGCATTTTAGGAGGCCATTTTGTGAAGCACCAGTTCCTATATATGCCAGAGTGTCCAATCCAACTTCTAGGACGAGATCTATTATCAAAGCTTCAAGCTCAAGATAACTTTTCTACCTAATGGATCAACGTCTCTGAAGTTTAATAAATCACCAGGCATGATAGCGGTATTGGTACCAAAAGAAGAAGAATGGTGCTTCTACTCTGTAATAACAAATGCAAACCCTAAGAGTGATGGATCCTTGTTTGACATTCCAGGAGCATGGGCAGAGAATAATCTTCCAGGACTTGCTCGTAATATCCCAGCAATACATATTGAGTTAAAACTTGGGGCGTATCCTGTTAGCCTTCGTATGTTGTTCTTTTATCTACCCCAACAGCTGTAAAGGTGGCAGAGGTGACTCCTTGGATTCATCACTCTAGGGTCAAACCAGCAGCAGATTCCTGGCAAGCTACTCCAGATCCTGAGAATCCTTGCAAGATCCGGTTGAAGCGAATAACCCAGTCAGATTGAACGTGACGTGAGGAAAAATACGAGGGGATATTGGGATATCGTGGTTAAAAGCCTTCGGAGATCATCAAGTAGGTGTTTTGACTTCCATAATAAAGCCTGACCACCTACCTACTTTTCATAGCCAGAGTGTCTCAGAGGGACCTCTGTGAAAGTGAGGATCAGAAGGACAACAATCCTTGCAGCCCTCACAAGCGGGAAGCTGAGGTGCCATCGCACGGTCGAAGAGTAGGATGAGGACCACAAGAATGATGTGTTTAGTTATATGTTTCAGTATTTTTATAATTTTTCAGAAAGGTAAAGGTGAGGATATTACAAGCTGTGTTAGTTGTATTAAGACTACGAAAACAGGTAACCAGATATCTCAAACCCTTATTTGGCACTCACAATATGAATGTAGAGGATCTGTGTCTAGGTGTAGGTACTTAGATACTGATTATAGTGTGTGTCAACCGATATCAGGTGAGCCTAATTGTTTCGATCCCCAATTCCAGCCCCTGTACAATTTGGTTGGTAATTCGAAATAGTAACTCTCAGGGAACATTGATAAATAGGACTTTGATAAGCACTTTACATTCTACAGGTATTCTATTGTTTGATGCATGTAAGGCGATTTCGGGTAGTAGAAAACCTTGGAATGTATGCGGTAATCTTAAATGGGAACAAACTTATCGGTTCAACAACAAATATTTATGCCCTAGTAAAAGACCTACTGACCCTGATTGCCCAAATAGAGACTTCAATTTCTGCCCATATTGGTCATGTGTAGGTTGGGCGACCTGGGGAATGACAGTAGATATGATTATCCAAAGGTTGCCACCTACACCGTATTGTAAAACCATGGAATGTAATCCCGTACATATGACCATTTCCAATTCGCAGCAATCTATTGATAAGTTTGGGAGTCTTTTTGGGTTTCAGATACATGGTACAGGAGCAGATCCAGGAGCCATAATATATGTAGGGCTTGAAACCGAGACAACAACTGCTCAAACTCCTCAGGTTTTCCATTCCTTTTATGAGTAGATGAGTGTTGAGGAGAAAGTTCCCCATAATGGTAAGAATCTGTTTATTGATTTAGCTGAGAGTATAGCAGGTAGTCTTAATATAACTAACTGCTTTGTATGTGGAGGTACAAATATGGGAGATCAATGTCCCTGGGAAGCAAGAGAAGTATGGGACCCTGGTTCTGAGACAAATGAACAACAGATGCCTTTCCAAACTGGCCATCAAGTGTAAGAGAAAAATCAGAGTGGCGTTTAAAGACATCTATTATAGGCCATGTATGTTTAGCTAGAAGAGGGCCAATGTATAATACACCGGTTGGCGAGTTAACATGTTTGGGACAGAAGGCCTATAATGCCGATACTAAAGATACTACTTGGTCAGCTTCAAATGTGTCAGAACCTACTAATCCTTTTGCTAATTACACCAATTTGAAAGAGGTATGGTTTGATCTATCAGCTACATCTAATTGGAGAGCCCCAGCGAATTTGTATTGGATCTGTGTTAAGAAAGCATACTCGGAATTACCACAAGATTGGAAAGGGGCATGTGTGCTAGGTATGCTCAAACCATCCTTCTTCTTGTTACCAATTGAAACGGGAGAGACTTTGGGAGTTAAGGTTTATGACGTACATCATAAAAAGAAGCGAGCATTATTGAACGTAGGTAACTGGGAAGATGATGAGTGGTCTCCCCAACGTATTATTAATTATTATGGACCTGCTACCTGGGATGAAGATGGTACTTATGGTTACCGGACACCCATATATATACTCAACTGCACTATAAGATTACAGGCGGTGGTTGAGATCATAACCAATGAGACAGCTGCCCATGTAATGGCTGTTTGGAAATATGAACCCCTAGCCCAGAGAGAGACTATCAATAATCAGGCTGATGAGTGTTGAGAGGTAATAGATTTAAGTTAGAATGCTTATAAGGTCTGTCCCGGCTCATGGTTACTTGAAAGGTGTTGGCAAATTATGATTAGTGATGCATCTGGAATAACTTTGTATCAGAAGCATCAAAGGGGGGAATGTGATGGGATTTCAACATGGTTCAAAATTTAGTAGGCCTGAAATCTCCATGCGGCATATACAAGTACAGGTGTTTGTTGTATCTGTTAGTTACATGTAGCTAAGATACTGTCATCAATGTACTGAGTATGTGCATCAACTGTAGTCACATTCCTTTGTCTTTAAAAGGAGTCATATGGTCTGCCCATATGAGGTGATCCTGAATATCCTGTTAACTGATTGGTCTAAGGCTATGTGTGGGTGAAGCTAGGAATAGGAGGAGTTATTGTTAATAAAAAGCATTTACAATCTGTGCTCTGGGCACAGACATTTTAGAACAGGAGTTCATCTGAGACCCAATCGGTAACAATAAAGACCTGTTACTTACTGAAAGAACCTGCTTCCATTTCTCTGTGTGTGGCTTCTGCGGCTTTCTCCTGCAACAACGTTGGAGGGGGAGGAGAGGTCACCAGCGCCGAGGGAGCCCAGCACTGAATAAAGGTGAGTGGCTGAAGGGGTTTTAATCCTTTCAGCCCAGCGGGAGGGGGGACCCTAAGGATTATATAGTGACAGGAAAAGAAGTTTGTTTTCCTGACACTATAGTGGTCCTTTAATTACACAAACTGTATTGTGCAATAGAATTGCATGTACTGTTTTTTGAAATGTAAACTGCATTTACATTGAATAAAGCCTTTAAAAAACAAACAAAAAAATTAGAAATAAACAATTCCCTAAAGCTGTCACTGATGGGGTATTGACATATCTAGTCAGCAGTAGCTTCACCCAGTGTCAAAAAATGTCAGGCGTAGGAAAAATAATACTTCTGTAAAATTCCACCACAGTCAGTATGAATATTCTATAAAGATTCTGTCATTATATAATACTAATATTGCAAGATGGAGGGGGACAGTGCCACTTTAAGGATGGGGGAGGGGCATGCTAGTGCATAACCTTGTTTAGTGAGTAACCCAGTTAAATCCTATTAGAGGACCACTATAGTGCCCTGAGGGTGCCCCCACCCTCAGGGTCCCACTCCCGTGGCGCTGAAGGGGGAGGAAAAGGTTAAGCCCTTACCTTTTACCCAGCGCCAGGCTCCCTCGGCGCTGGGATTCTACTCCCTCTTATGACGTCACCGGCTGAATGCGCATGCACGGCAAGAGCCGCGTGCGCATTCAGTCAGTCCATAGGAAAGCATTCTCAATGCTTTCCTATGGACGGCAGCGTCGTCTCACTGTGAAAATCACAGTGAGAAGTGCGGAAGCCCTCTAGCGGCTGTCAATAAGACAGCCACTAGAGGCTGGATAAACCCATATGTAAACATAGCCGTTTCTCTGAAACTGCTATGTTTACAGCAGGCAGGGTTAATCCTAGATGGACCAGGCACCCAGACCACTTCATTAAGCTGAAGTGGTCTGGGTGCCCATAGTGGCCCTTTAAGACATGCACCATAGAGTTACAGACTCTGCTACACGTGTCTACGTCATCACGCACATGCTGTCGCTCTGCTTCCTGTCTTGCCAGTAGTCGCCGGGATGACGTCACGGCTGTAGTGCTGAGTGGGTTCCGGTGTGGTCGGGCCTGTGCTGCACTCTTGCCTGTGTTTCTCCTGTCCGGCCCCGGGGTCCCGCAAACCGGCAAGATGAGTACCATGTTCGCGGACACCGTGCTCATTGTGTTCATATCGGTGTGCACGGCTCTGCTGGCGGAGGGTGAGTGAGCACATCCCGGAGGCAGAGAATGAATGAGCAGACTGCCAGCCGGGGAACCTGCAGGAAATCCCAATATACAGGCTGGGGATCGATAACTGGGATTATTATATAATACTGTGTGTGAGGACAGACAGACTGCCAAGAGAGAGGGAGAAAGGGCATTACATTCATTCAGAGAGTCACAGAATAACATGGAATGTCCCAATGAAACATGCACAGAGTCATAGAATAACATGGAATGTCCTAATGGGACATGCAGAGAGTCATAGAATAACATGGAATGTCCTAATGGGACATGCACAGAGTCATAGAATAACATGGAATGTCCTAATGGGACATGCAGAGAGTCATAGAATAACATGGAATGTCCTAATGGAACATGCACAGAGTCATAGAATAACATGGAATGTCCTAATGGGACATGCAGAGAGTCATAGAATAACATGGAATGTCCTAATGGAACATGCACAGAGTCATAGAATAACATGGAATGTCCTAATGGGACATGCAGAGAGTCATAGAGTAACATGGAATGTCCTAATGGAACATGCAGAGAGTCATAGAATAACATAGAATGTCCTAATGGGACATGCAGAGAGTCATAGAGTAACATGGAATGTCCTAATGGAACATGCAGAGAGTCATAGAATAACATAGAATGTCCTAATGGGACATGCAGAGAGTCATAGAGTAAAATGGAATGTCCTAATGGGACATGGAGAGAGTCATAGAATAACATGGAATGTCCTAATGGGACACTGAGAGAGTCATAGAATAACATGGAATGTCCTAATGGGACACGGAGAGAGTCATAGAATAACATAGAATGTCCTAATGGAACATGCAGAGAGTCACAGAATAACATAGAATGTCCTAAGGGGACATGCAGAGAGTCATAGAGTAAAATGGAACGTCCTAATGGGACATGGAGAGAGTCACAGAATAACATGGAATGTCCTAATGGGACAGGGAGAGAGTCATAGAATAACATGGAATGTCCTAATGGGACACGGAGAGAGTCATAGAATAACATGGAATGTCCTAATGGGACACGGAGAGAGTCATAGAATAACATGGAATGTCCTAATGGGACACGGAGAGAGTCATAGAATAACATGGAATGTCCTAATGGGACACGGAGAGAGTCATAGGATAACATGGAATGTCCTAATGGGACACGGAGAGAGTCATAGGATAACATGGAATGTCCTAATGGGACACGGAGAGAGTCATAGAATAACATGGAATGTCCTAATGGGACACGGAGAGAGTCATAGAATAACATGGAATGTCCTAATGGGACACGGAGAGAGTCATAGAATAACATGGAATGTCCTAATGGGACACGGAGAGAGTCATAGATAACATGGAATGTCCTAATGGGACACGGAGAGAGTCATAGAATAACATGGAATGTCCTAATGGGACACGGAGAGAGTCATAGAATAACATGGAATGTCCTAATGGGACACGGCGAGAGTCATAGAATAACATGGAATGTCCTAATGGGACACAGAGAGAGTGATAGAATAACATGGAATGTCCTAATGGGACATGGAGAGAGTCACAGAATAACATGAGATGCCCTAATGTGACATAGAGTAATATAAATATATATATATATATATATTAAAAAAAAAAAAAAACATGTACTAATGCAGGACTTGACAAATGTGTTTGGAATATAGGAGACAGTCAAAAAAGTAAGGAGTCAGTTTTTTGTTTTTTAAATTTAAGTTAAATTTTCAAAGATAAAAATGCAATTCTTAAATGGACACTATAGTTACCAAAACCAATACAGATTAATGTAGTTGTTCTGGTATCTATAGCCTGTCCCTGTAACCTTTTCAATGTAAACACTACCTTTTAAGATAAAAGACCGCATTTATATTGCTACCTAGTAACACCTCTAGTGACAGTCACTCAGACGGCCACCAGAGAATCCTGTGTCACAGCGCTTATGTTCAGCATCTCCTCGCTCTGCATGGAGGTGCTGAATGTTACCCATAGAGAACATGCGCAATATCCTCTAAATGCTTTGGCTTAGCTGAGATCACAAACATTGATCTCAGTCGTGGAGATAACATGAGATTTCCACACCTGAGGTTTCTTCGAAAAGGCAGTCTTTATTTAAAAACAAAAAAGGAAGTGGAGACAACATTTCAGCTCCACTCTGAGCCTTTATCAAGTCTCAAGAAAAGGCATGAGATAGAGAGAGTAATATAACATATGAGGACCGAATGTGACATGGAGTAATATAATAACGTGAGTGTGGTCCTAATGTGACATGGAGTAATAGAATAACCTGTGAGTGTGGTCCTAATTTGACATGGAGTAATATAATATGTGAGTGTGGTCCTAATATGACATGGAGTAATATAATAACATGTGAGTGTGGTCCTAATGTGACATGGAGTAATATAATAACCTGTGAGTGTGGTCCTAATGTGACATGGAGTGATATAATAACAGTTCAGGCACTCCGGGATAACAAAAAATAGCTTTATTGGGGCAAAAACAGCAACGTTTCGACCCTACCAGGTCTTTATCAAGCTACCATAGCTGAAACATCCGGTCTTACTCTGTCCACTTGCCGGGTAATATTGTACAGCAGTGATTTATTTTGTTGATTATATTTTCTTGTATAGTTAATCAATTATTAATTTGTTTGTATTCATTAATTTCATTGAAATCATGTATAGGTTGAATACTTTTATTCAGGCAAATTATCTGAGGTACATATGCCATTTTACTAGAGAGGTGTGTATGTGTGTGTGTGTGTGTGTGTGTATATATATATATATATATATATATATATATATGTGAGAGAGAGAGATGGATAGATGAATTTGTATTTATTATTAATTTTTGTATTGAAATAAAATTTGACCTTTTATTGTTATTGATTTTGGTTGTGCAGGTATTTCTTTAATTGTATGGGGAGAGGAGTGCAAGACAGGTGTAACCCCTTTCTCAATTGACATGGGGAGAGGAGTGTAAGACAGGTGTAACCCCTTTCTCAGTTGACATGGGGAGAGGAGTGTAAGACAGGTGTAGCCACGTGTGAATGTCTTGGAGACGATACCTGGATGAGCTGTGTGTAATTATTTTAGTCTACTGGAAAACCTGTATTCGTAGTTTGTATGTGACTCTGAAAAAGTGAAAATAAAATCGAATTATTAAATGAAGACTAAAATATCCACACCTTTTCCGGATTATTCACTAAAGCGTGAATTGTCTGGAATTTAAACTAAGTTATACATTTTAGACCACAAAAGCCAAATTTAAAAAGTAAATACATCTCCAAATAAACTAGGTTTTCAGTTTGCTAATTTGGTCGTACATTTTTAATTCACATTTCAATGAGTAACTTCGTGCAAAGTTAAAATAATTTTTCCAAACCAGCAAAGTTTGCTGCAATCTGGTTTTCAGTTAAAGTTCATTGTTTAGTGAATAAACCCATTTGTATAGTTTTAGGGTGTGTTGGGTTGGAGAGTGAGCAGTGGTTGTTAAACATTAGTGTACTGTTCACTGTGTTGGATGTCAGTAGTGTAATTTGATATGCGAGAGCTTACCTCAGAAGCATCAAGGGTTAAAAGATGAATGTAAGCTGCTTGGTGTAGAAAGGGCTAGGGAGCCAGTACTTATTTCTAATCTCAGTTCATATGTATAATCTCTCATTTCTCTCTCTCCAGGTATAACGTGGGTATTGGTATACAGAACAGACAAGTACAAGAGGTTAAAAGCTGAAGTGGAGAAACAGAGTAAAAAATGTAAGTTGCAGAGGGCAATTAAACTTGAAACCTATTACTAAACACCTTTAAAGGACCACTATAGGCACCCAGACCATTTCAGCTTAATGAAGTGGTCTGGGTGCCAGGCCCATCTAGGATTAACCCTTTTTTCTATAAACATAGCAGTTTCAGAGAAACTGCTATGTTTATAATATGGTTAATCCAGCCTCTAGTGGCTGTCTCTTGACAGCCGCTAGAGGCGCTTGCGTGCTTCTCACTGTGAAAATCACAGTGAGAAGATGCCAGCGTCCAAAGGAAAGCATTGTAAATGCTTTCCTATGAACTGGCTGAATGCGCACACGGCTGCTGCCGCGCATGCGCATTCAGCCGATGACATCGCTATGGAGGAGGAGAGCTCCCCGCCCGGCGCTGGAGAAAGGTAAGATTTTAACCCCTTCCTCTCCCCAGAGCCCGGCGGGAGGGGGTCTTGAGTATGTTTTCCTGGCACTATAGTGGTCCTTTTAATGTGTTACTAATAGTATAGGGAGAAAAGAACACTGGCCCTGTCCCCTACCAGCCTCTTTGGCTGACATCAGACTTGATGATCTCAGCCAATCCAATGCTATAACATTTAATAAATAAATGTGTGTGTATATATAAAATGTAATTCTAACTCTATTTTAATAATCACCTCATAATGTCGTTACTCACTATAATGGGCTTTAAAGCAGTTGCAGCGGCATGGAACACCCTAATGGTTTTTAGACCTAGGAGGTCCGAGCTGCCTACCTCTTTCGCAATCGGCTTTTAGGTTACTGCCTGAGGTAGTAGCAGAAAGTACAGAGAATTTAATTTGCAAGTCCTATATTTAACTTTGTAACTTTCCAAAACTCCATAAAACATGTACATGGGTGGTACTATCATCAGTGAAAGGGCAGTTTATATGTAAAAACAAATATGGCCTTTGTTTGTGACTTAGTGGCTACTAAAAAAGAAAGTTCATATCCTGTTTTGAATGCCCTGGGTTGTCTACTTTTTCAAATGGTATGCCATGATGGGGGTCCATTTTTATTCCTGGGCTGCCATACGGTTTTAAAGGCAACATAACCAATTTGGCAAATTATAATGTGTAATAACTAGAAAGGGGAAAGCCCTTTATTTGACCCTGTAACTTTACAAAACCCCATAAAACCTATACATTGGCGGTACTATTGTACTCGTGAGATATGTTTGGAACACAAATATTTTATTGCAGTAAAAGCTAACAGTATTATGACATTCATAGTTAAAATGCCACGCAGAACTTCATATGGGCAAAGAAAAAACCAAGGGTGGCAGCCTGGGTCCTACAAAGACCGATCGAAAGAGGGGGGCTGGGGCTACCAAATATCCACACCTACTACAAGGCCGCACACATAGCAGCTATCAAAGCATCCACGACAGAAGGGGAAACCCCACAATGGTCCAAAATAGAAGCCCACTGGGCGGGAGGGTATGGCTTACACAACATATTCTGGCTACCAAGTCACCTACGCCCCGCACACATCGACCCCCTACCGACCACCTTGACCACTATGGCAATCTGGGACGAGACAAAGGGCGGGGAGAGGGCCCGGGACAGTATACCAGGGAATGCCCCGATCTCCGTGATCGCGGTAGGAATCCCAACATTCGAACACAAACAATGGAGAGATGGAGGGTGCACAACAGTCACACATCTATACAAGGAGGGGAAGTTAATGAACTTTCCAGACCTCCGAGAACTATATCACCTCCCAAATAGAGCCATATTCCCATTTCTACAACTGAAGTCCTTTCTCAAGGGGATAGAAGTACGAAACACACCACAGCAACAAGAGTGTAAGTTAGAGCACCTATGCCTCTCACCAAAACCAGTCAAGCGTACACTATCCACGCTGTATAAGGAGCTACATAATGAGCCACGGGACACTATTATGCCATTCCAAGAAGCGTGGAACGGAGAACTGGGATACGTCCTATCACAGGAGAAATGGGAGAGGGCCTTTAAAATTCACAAGGGGAACACACAATGCTCCACACATTTAGAAATTATAAGGAAGCTACAATATAGGTGGTATATGGTACCAGAGAGGCTATCCAAAATGTACCCAGACTCCCCCAATAGATGCTGGAGATGTGGGGCCCAGGGAGGGTCAATGGGACACACATGGTGGTCATGCGAGAGACTAGCACCACTCTGGGTGACAATGGAGCAGGAAATAGGGAAGCTGATAGGTAGACGCTGGCCACTTAACCTTGAACAATGCGTACTCTTTATGATCCCCACAACACTGAACAAAATTGAGGAACGACTAATCTTCCACATGCTAATTTCTGCAGTAACACTATTAGCCAGAGCATGGAAATCAACCCAGGTGCCAAGCAGGGAAGCTTTACTAAACCAAGCAGACACCAATTGGAAGTATGAATTAATGGCCTTCAAACACCTGACACCACAGGGAAACATTAAAAAAGCAGGGGAGAGATGGAGGGAATACAGGGAGGGATCAGAGGGGACCCGGAGCCCAGTAGCACCACAGGGGACCGCTGCGAGGTCTTTCCAGAATGGGGGAAACCAGGACATAGCAATCAGAGGTTCACCAACCCCGTAAGAAGTGGAACGTTTTGAGCAGTCGCAGAGGTTAGAATCACACCCCCCCCACAACCACCATCCAAAATAGGGGTTGGGTTCGGGAGGTGACGGCCCTAGAGTGATGAGGGGTACCGATTGACAACACAAAGGAAAAAATAAAATGGTCATTGTGTAACACTAATGCAACACTAATGTAACTAATGTAACACCAATGTAAATTATTGTTCCTGCACTATCCCATTTCTTTTCTGTACCCTGGCGAGCAGGCGCCGCAAGACACTTGACAACCATATAATAAAACTTATTTTCAAATTGAAAAAAAAAAAATGCCACGCAGAACTAAGAAAATAATTTCTAAATGTATCACACTTTTTCAGTTTAATATATGCATTATATACATATGTAATATGAAAGAGGTGAATTACGGTTGAACAGAAATATAGTCAGATTAAAGTTTTTGTTTACATTTTGTTTTGACCAGAACATGTACAATTGCTTCCATCTTTAAGGGGTTAATGCTTGGCTTTTGGCTATCCCTGTTATAATTTATTTCTGCTGTATAATGGGCAGAAATAGTTTTGTTCAATTCATTTGTACTTCATGCAATTCAGTGAACCATGATGTGCATAATAATGCATTTTTTTTTCTTTCCTAAACACCCTGTTTTAGCATTTGCTTGTAGTCCTATAAGGATATAAAAGTAGCATTAAACCGGCTTGTTTATTTCTACTGTACCTTTGATTCTATCACATACACAAATAAAATATTTTTCTTCATGTAGTGGAAAAGAAAAAGGAATCTATAACGGAATCTGCTGGACGAACACAAAAGAAGAAAATAGGTAACTAGATAAAATAATGCAGGTTCGATGTTCTGTAGATCACTTTTTTGTAGATACTGGATAAACTGAAAGCAAAATTGTAATTTTAGAATGTATTTATTTATTTGCAATTTAATGGATTCGAAAAAATGGTTTACTGGACATTATTCTTGTATATAAAATAACTTTTACTTAAAGGGACACTCTGGGTACCAATACAACTTTAATGCATTTGATCGATTTTGGCCTCCTTAATATGATGTATTTTTTGCAAGCTCAAATCTTTACAGCTTTTGCAAAAAAGTAAATGTTTTGCAAAATGCTGCACCATATTTTTGATAAAGACTTATTTTTCTGGAGTGAGGGGCGTGAGTAAAAAGGCAGGCTTATGGTGCAGCATTCTGCAAAAAAACAAACAAAATTATGCAAAAACTAAAACAAAAAAAGCATTTTAATGAGGACAAAATCTATCAAATGCATTAAAGATGTATTGGTGTCTGGAGCGCCCCTTTGACTTATTCCAGCGCGAGGTGAAGCCCCGGGCTATGGTAAGCACACGCTGTTGTAATGCCATTGAAGACGCATGGAGGGCCATAGCATAAATTAGTTTCTACTTTTGTCATTGTATATAAATAGAGTAAATTGTAAATACAGTGCATGCCCAAGATTTTCATTGAAGTTTGTGGAAAATGAGAGCATTTTAGTTTATATTGATATACTGTGTTACTGTAAGTCAACACTATCTGTCATTGTAAATATTCCCTTCAACATCAATTTCATGCTCTCAAGAGCAAGATAATATTTTTTTTAATTTAAGGACAATATATTGATCGCGGGTAGCGCATATTAATTGTGCATTCTGTAGACTTTGCATTTCTCATCTACTTTGTCTTTCACAGAACGTCAGGAAGAGAAACTGAAGAACAATAACCGAGATCTATCCATGGTAAGAGCTTAGTAGACGGTATCTAGAGTTTCTGTAAGACCTAGTTATATATGTTAATCTAACTGAACTGATTTGGGTTTATGCACGCAGCACTATATACTGCTTATACATCACGGATGGGGTTGTTACAAACCAGTAGGTTCCCTTGGTTGATTCAGGAGGTGTTTGTTAGAAGCCTATAACATAATTGTTCTTTTCTATTACTCTGAAATACTCAACTATATTAGTGTGCAGTAACCAATGGACAGATGTCTGAATAATAGTCTCTCTAACATGAAATATAAAAGAGAGCCAGCCCCTCCTCCACCTTAGCCATTGCTGTGTCAGTCACGATGATCTCTCCCAATCCAATGCTTCCCCATAGGAAAGTATGTAGAGGCAATTCTACATGCACGGCAAATGCTGCACCAATCTGCATATCCTCATAGAGGTGCTTTGAGGCAGTGTATCTCTATGGGGAGCGTGGAGATGCTGAACGTCGGTCATGCAATCTTAGCTTGACCTAATCCAGGAAATCCCACTATTGCTTGTTGGGGTGACCGCTATTAGATGTGATTATTTACAGCAATGTAAACACTGCCTTTCTCAAAAAAGACAGTGTTTACACTGCTTAACCAGCAGAGACCACTACAGAGGTTTTGGTGACTATAGTGTCCCTTAAAAAAAAAAAAAGTAAAAATTAAAACATTTCATCTGAGCTAGTCGTCTCTAGTGACATAGAATGAATAGAAAATGTGACAACAGAAAAATTGTTTAGTGATTGAAATTGTTTAGTTTGTATATATTTGGTACTGTAATCGGGTGTCTGTCTCTCTCTCCCAGGTTCGAATGAAGTCAATGTTTGCAATTGGTTTTTGCTTCACAGCTTTGATGGGCATGTTCAACTCAATGTAAGTCATATAATCTCTTACACGTTAAAGTACTCTAGCAAGCACAGTGTAGGTAGTCTTAAAACTGCAATTACAAGAGCACAATGTTTTTGGTTCTCAGCTCCCAAATCTGCTTGAATAAAATAATTTAATTCATGCCAGTGGAAATAGGGTTTCTAGTATGAATTCTATATTGTAGTTAACACACGGTATAGGAGTTGTAGTTTTGTGCTAAAGACAGGGACTGACATGGGTTCAGTGCTGTTTTCTGGCACTATAGTACATACATAGAAGTGTGTAAGTGCTGCAACAATAGAGTTGAGCGAAAAACCTGGATGTTCGGGTTCGCCGGGTTTGGCTGAACTTTGGCAAAAAGTTTGATTTCGGGACTCAGACTTGACCCCGAACCTGAACCCCAATTGAAGTCAATGGGGACCCGAACTTTTGGGCACTAAAATGGCTCTAACAAAGCCCTGGAAAGGGCTAGAGGGCTGCAAAAGGAAGTAAAATGGGGGTAAGAGCAGGACAAGTGCCCTGCAAACAAATGTGGATAGGGAAATAACTTAAAATAACATAAAATACATAAAAATGTAAAATAATCTTGAACTAGGAGGAGGAGGTGGATGTGGAGTAGGAGGTTGAGGAGGTGGTGACTATGTGGTGTAGGTGGAAGCGGCGGTGGAGGAGGAGGTAGCCAACACTGTTTATTTGGTTTTTTTTTTTAATTGGGGTAGCCCCCAAAATATTGGGACATATAAAAAAAGAAAACAAAGAATAAGTGCACTTGAGTATAACAATGGCTGGGTGAGGCCGGTATAAATGTCTATTCTGCACAAGGTACAGACAAGTCTGGTGGGATCCATGCCTGGATCATTTTAATAAACATGATCTTGTCCACGTTGGCTGAGGACAGGCGGCTGCGCTTGTCTGTGATAACACCCCCTGCCGTGCTAAACACACGTTTAGACAATACACTGGCTGCAGGGCAGGCCAGCACCTCCAAGGCATAAAGGGCAAGCTCAGGCCATGTGCCCAATTTGGAGACCCAGAAGTTGAATGGGGCAGACCCATCAGTCGATACGTGTAGGCGTGTGCACACTTACTGTTCCACCATGTTGCTGAAATGCTGCCTCCTGCTAAGACATTCCATGTCAGCTGGTGGTGCTGGTTGTTGTGGCGTGCTGACAAAGCTTTTCCACATTTCAGTTATGGCTAACCCTGCCTTCTGAGGTGCTGGTGGTGCCCCAGCTGCGTTGGCGACCTCTTCTTCCTCCTCTGCCTTCGCCTTGTGCTTCCACTGAGCCCCCGGTGTCAGTTGGGAATGCCCTCAGCACCTCAGCAGCGCGTCTACCAGCATGCGCTTGTAGTCGCGCATCTTCCGATCACGCTCTACTGAGGGAATTAAGGACGGCACGTTGCCCTTGTAACGGGGATCCAGCAGGGTGGCCACCCAGTAATTAGCACAAGTTAGAATGTGGGCAGTGATGCCCACGAGCTGCGTTGGGTGCCACCCTGCTGTGAACACAGTTCCTCCTCATCCTCCAGAACTGTGCCCTGGCTGGACAATTGTGTACCTGGCCTATGCTGGTGCAGGAACCCACCCTCTGAGCCACTTGTGAATGACTGGCCTGATAACCGTGGAAATGACCCCTCTTCCTCCTGTGCCACATCCTCTTACATCATCGCCCGAAGCGTTTTTTCAAGGAGACAAAGAAGCGGGATCGTAAGGTTGAATACGGCGTCATCGGCACTGGTCATGTTGGTGGAGTACTCGAAACAGCGCAACATGGCACACAGGTCTCGCATGGAGGCCCACTCATTGGTGGTGAAGTGGTGCTGTTCCGCAGAGCGACTGACCTGTGCGTGCTGCAGCTGAAACTCAACTATCGCCTGCTGCTGCTCGCACAGTCTCTCCAGCATGTGCAAGGTGGAGTTCCACCTTGTGGGCACGTCGCATATGAGGCGGTGAGCGGGAAGGCCGAAGTTACGCTGCAGCACAGACAGGCGAGCAGCAGGGTGAGAGCGCCGAAAGCGCGCACAGACGGCCCGCACTATCTGCAGCAGCCCTGATATATCTGGGTAGTTTTTCAGGAATTTCTACACCACCAAATTCAGCACATGCGCCAGGCAAGGGATGTGCGTCAAACTGACTAGGCCCAGAGCTGCTACGAGATTTTGCCCATTATCACACACCACCAGGCCGGGCTTGAGTCTCAGTGGCAACAACCACTAATCGGTCTGTTGTTCCATGCCCATCTACAGCTCCTGCGCGGTGTGGGGTTTTACCCCAAACATATGAGTTTTAAAACCGCCTGCTGTCGTTTCCCTGAAGTTGGTGGTGAAGGTGTTACGCTGACCGAATGAGGTGGTGGCAGAGGAAGCGGAGTAGGAGGAGGAGGCGGCAACATGAGGCAAAGAGAAAAGCCCTGCAATCCTCGGTGGCAGAAGGACATGCGCCAAACTGCTATCCGCCTCAGGCCCAGCTGCCACTACATTTTCCCAGTGTGCAATTAGGGAGATATACCGTCTCTGCCCGTGCTTACTGGTCCACGTATCAGTGGTTATGTGGACCTTGCCACAGATAGCGTTGCGCCAATTGTTTGTGCAGGGAAGGGATGGCTCGCCTGGAAAAGTAGTGGCGGCTGGGAACCATGTACTGTGGGACAGCCACCGCCATCATTTTTTTAAAACTGTCCGTCTCCACCATACGGAATGACAGCATTTCAAAGGCCAGGAATTTTGAAATGCTGGCATTCAGGGCCAGGGATCGCAGGTGGCTTCCTCTTTCTCTCCAGTGTCTGGGAGATGGACAGCTGAACGCTTCCATGGGACAGTGTGGAGATGCTTGGGGACGGTGGTGGCGTTGCTGCCACATCCTCTGTTTGCGGGGTGGCAGGTGCCACTCACTCCAGAGGTGGAGGAAGAGGCCGAGACAGCAGCAGAAGAGGAAGCAGGAGGAGCCTGAGACCTTGCTTGGTTTTTGAGGTGCTTACTCCACTGCAGCTCGTGCTTTGCATGTAGATGCCTGGTCATGCAGGTTGTGCTCAGGCTCTGATTGCACAGTGTGCAAACCAATCGTGTCTTGTCGTCAGCACATTGTCTGAAGAACTGCCACTCCAGGGAACTCATTGGAGCTGGCTTTGGTGTGCTCGGTCCCTGGGTGCGGTGGGCAGTAGCAGGCATGCTGTCTATGGGACGCCTGCTCCGCTTTTGCACCCTGCTCCCTCTTGTGCTGGTGCCTCTGTGCGACCACTGCCTCTTTCTCCAAACTGCACACGTCACTCGCATGACTTTGATTCCATGTGGGGTCTAGGACCTCATCATCATCCACATCATCTTCCACCCACTCAACCCTGCCCTCCTTGCTGGTCTGCACACTGCAGAAAGCCACAGCAGTTGGCACCTGTGTTTCATCATCATCAGAGACGTGCTGCGGTGGTCCTCGCATGTCCACATCCTGAAACATAAGTGGTTGTGCATCAGTGCACTCAATCTCTTCCACTTCTGGGGCAGGGCTAGGTGGATGGCCCACATAAACCCTGCCAGCAGAGTCATCAAAAAGCATAAGAGACTGCTGCATGACTTGTCTCTCAGACTGCTTGGCTGATTTGCAAGGGGGTGAGGTGAAAGACAGATGGCCAAGGGCTTCAGGTGCCAACTCTGAGCTTTCAGCAGGGGACCAGGTGGGAGACAATGTGAAGGAACTGGAGGCACTGTCAGCCATCCAATCTACTATCGCCTGTACTTGTTCTGGCCTCCCCATTTGTAGAGTGGCATAAAGGCCTACCAAATAACGCTGAAGGTTCTGTCGCCTACTCGCACCTGAGGAAGGTGTTTCACTTGTGCGTGTAGCTGGCACAGATCGACCACGTCCTCTCTTTGCAACAGGAGCCCCACTAACACCAGCAGCACCACGACCAGGGCCACGTCGCTTATTTGATGCTCTCCTCATTCTTTGCGTTCACCCACCAAACTAACAGATTGTTTGTCAGGAAACAATGTAACCACCAATAGTCAACAATTAAGTTCACTGACAGTAAGGCAGTGCCGGTGTCTTAAAGAGAACAAATTTCTAGAAGTCACACAACAGTGTGACAGGCGTAATTAATTAATACACTTACTTCACTGTCTCAAAATTTTTTAATTTGTCAAACAACATTGTAACAGTAGTATTTAACGGTTTTATTGAACTGCAAGAAATGCACCGCAGGCCGCAAATGTACTATTTAGCACAAAAAAATTTGAATTTGTCAAACTGCAATGTCACAGCAGTATTTAAAAATGTCTAGATGTTGCCCACTGAGCTACCAGAACAGGATTAAAGTAATGTGCCTGGCACACATGCAGTTGCAAGTGCCCACCTAACAAACAGACTGCTTATTTCTCTGTGGCACTGGGCTCAGGGCAGGTACAAAAATGTAGTATAGCACCCACAAAAATAATCGCTGTAGTTTGCAGATTCAACACCAGAATTATTTCCTAATCTGTCCCTCACAGCTGCAGCATCCTCTCCCTACACTAATAAGAGCTCATGTGACTCCAGCTTAAATAGAGGCTGGGTCACATGCTGCACTGGCCAATCACAGCCATGCCATTAGTAGGCATGGCTGTGATGGCTTCTAAGGGCACACGAGTCAAACGCTTGTTGATTGGCTGCCCTGCAGCTTTTCAAAACGCGCCATTAAATCGCCAAACTCTAACCCGAACATACACTGAAATGTTGGGGTTCAGGGTCAAAAAAATCGTAATGTTCGGTACAAACTTTACATTTCAGATTCGCTCAACTCTATGCAACGACTCTTAAAAGTCTAGTTGGAGTATATAGCTTCATGATAGCACATGTTTTGTAAATAAAGTTTGTTTTCAAAGCATATAGTGATTTGGGTTTCTGTCCAGTTGGTTACTTGTGTATAGAACACATTTTATGTGATCTTTCTTTAGCTTTCCTGAATAAATTCTACTTGTTTCAGTATATTGTTTATTCTTATATTTAGTGTTTTTATAATAAACACCCTGTATCTCTTCATCAACCGTGTAAACTTGATTTGTAGGTTTGTTTTTGCCATTTTTAAATCATAATAAAGGAAGTTATGGTGGAAGTTGTGTGCTAAACAGTTATGGGGCTTTGTCCTGAAAGTTACAAAAGTCACTGTGTATATCGATGGGATCTCTCTGCTAATTGCTTTACCGCCTCTCTACCTAAATAACATCTTATCTTCCTTCCATAAAAGTTCAGAATTAAGATGGTGCTGCCTCTGGTCTATAATTTCATCAGAAGTATTTTTTTTTTTTTTTTTTTTAAATTCTAGTTAATGAGTTGGAGTGCAGGCAGGTATATTTTGCTTAAAGGAACACTATAGGGTCAGGAACACAAACCTGTATTACCGACCTTATAGTGTTAGATCCAACGTCTAGTCCCCTTTAACCCCCTAAATAAATATAAAATCAGTGGATTGACTGAGACTGACAAGGAGGCAGATCAGGGGCAGAGCCAGCACAAGCCAAACACATCCCTGGCCAATCAGCATCTCCTCAGAGAGCTGCATTTAATCAGTGCATCTCTATGAGAAAAGTTTGGTGTCTCCATGCAGAGGGTGGAGAAAGTGAATGCCGGAACAAAAAAGCAGTTCCAGAAGTTCTGAAGCGGATTTTCTTTCATTTCAAATAAACTTAGCGTTGTGTAGCACTGACCCAGGAAGCACCACTAGTAGCCATATGAGGAGTGACCAGTGGAGTTATCCCTAGGTTGTAATGTAAACACTGTATTTTCCTGGAAAGATAGTGTTTACTGCAAAAAGCCTCAAAGGAATGATTATACACACCGGAACAAATGCAATAAGCTGTAGTTGTTCTGGTGACTATAGTGTCCCTTTCAACATATAGATATTTAAGCGAGTTTAACGTTTGTAATATTTAATCCTACATACATCTTCTCAATCATGTGCCATGAAATGCCTTTGGCATCTTCTTCCTGAGATGATGCCTGCTCCCACAAGCCATCTTGCACTATAGCTGATAGGAAATGTCAAGATGTGACAAATGAAATCTGTTTGCCACATTTTTATAATTTCAGTTGAATTTACTATGCAGTACATACAAGTTTTTCATAAACATTACTTCCTTATGAAAAACTGAGAATTGTCAGTGCCACTTTAATATCCTTATTCTGAAGTTACGACATTGATGGGCTTAAGGAATATATATACTACGGAGGGGCAGAGGAGATTTGAATTAATCTGCCGCCCTTCCTTCCTGAATAAACAGCCAGGTCTGCAATAAGCCTTCAAGAAAAGCCAACCACTACGTTTGTTCATACATGGCAGGAAGCTCAAGCACTTAAAAGCTTTTAAGACCAGATGCACCTGCTAACAGTCTGCTTTGGGAAATGCAACAATAGCTTCATCTCACACATCCAATATGAAAGAATTTCCCACTTCACAGTCGAGTCATGTGTGCATTTAGGTATACTTGATTTTTTTTAACACATCTTGTCCTTAAAGGGTAATTATGAAAAAAATAGCCTTTGGTATGTTGTGAAATATATTAATATATGCATCGACTGACACTCTCAGCCTGTCCCTTGACATTCATAGCAACTAGTGCATGACAAATGTAGTAGATATCGACTGATATAATTTTACAGAGATCCCAGCATGTACAGTGCTGTTACTGATAGGAGTTTGCTAATGGCAATCAAACTCCTCTTACTCTGTCAGCCAGCCCAGTACATTACACTATATCATTCACTGTCTCGCCTCCCTGCTGATCTCCGCATGCTGCTCTCACATAATAGGATGATGTGAGGTCACGATGTGGCGCTTCATTGGCTGGTGGCTAGAGTTTCTGGATGCAGAAGACAGTGTGTGGTGAGTAAGTTAATCGTATCAGCCTTGTAATTTACTGATATCTATAAAACGCTGAATATTGGCTCTAATAATGGGCGGAACCGATACTCAGTCTATCCCTAAAATATAGGCATAATTTGTGAAGCATTGTTTCATGTGAGTGGCCAGTTGCAGGCTGATAGTGTCAACTGACGTCATCAGTCCATCACTGCTGCTCAGCAAGTGCTTCCACATTTGTGAGCAGTACAGGAGAGAAAGTTGTACTGGTGCTTGGAGGCCTGCACTTTACTATTAAGCGGTTTGAAAATGGTTTAACACTGGAGTGTAAGTGCCAGGGCCTTTGCGTACCATAACGACTTCATTGACATGAAGTGATTTTGTGCCCTTACATTTCTCATGCAAGTTACCCTTTAAGAATGCTGAGCATTGATCGTAACCTTTTCTACTGTAGGATTGCAGTACAGAGGAGGTGGGGAAAAAAACAGCTTGGACTTAAAGCTGCTGCAAAAACTACCATTCCCTATTTTTTTATCATTTTCCTTCTTTTCCTCTTTAAATGGCTTTTTCACTTAACTTAGGCTGGTGTTCACCATGCAAGCCAACACCAAGTGAAAGTGCTGCTTTATGTGCATTATATTAGTGTTATTGGCCCCTAAAACAGTATAGCTGGTGGCGATTTTACATGTACTGACACATTGAGTTCCACATTTTATTTGTTTGTACCATAACTATTTATAGTACCATAAATCCACTAATGCACCCTTGACAATGGTCTTTATTCACACACACAAAAATAAATTTGGTAAAAGGATGGCTGGAACCCTAGTGGTGGTAAAATGTATTTTCACCTCTTTTTACTCTAGCTTTCCATGTGTGGATTACTATTCAGTGTAAAACAATGTCCCCCAAGTCACACCAGCAGTCTAGGTTATGTCAGTATCCCTCACAGGAACATAATCAGGAACTTGTTCTATCATGCATCATCTTTATGCCTTGAGGAATGGATTGGGGACCACTGCTTTAGTACATATCTGCACCTAACTGTTCCAATGTAGTCATACAAAACTATGTAACATGCAAGTACAAGCACACCAATTTGTCTATTTTATGTGGAATTTTATTTTATTTTTCCTTTTAAATTCAGTTTTTTTTGGTTTCCCTAGATTTGATGGACGGGTTGTAGCAAAGCTGCCGTTCGTTCCCTTGTCATACATACAAGGGCTGTCACACAGAAACCTGCTGGGGGAAGATTATACTGATTGCTCCTTTATTTTCCTGTATATCCTGTGCACCATGTCCATTCGACAAGTAAGTGGCTAGTGAAGGGCTAAACGTTGTATGCAAACTTCTGGAATAGTGTGTTGTGTTGCTTTCTCTTCTTTGTATCTTTACATGTGTAACCAAAATACTTGCAGTGGCCCAGAGTGTACATATGATAAGAAAGCTCTACCCTTCCTTTAAAGCAATGCATATAAAATGTGTGGGTGCACTGACAGCATTACAATGAAACAAACCCTTTCTCTTAAGTTTTATATTAACACATATGAAATCGCGATCTGGGTTTGTCTTCACACACGCAGGGCACACATTGCGAATGAGGATACATTTTTATCTGTATTCTTAATGCTATTAAATCTGTATTCTTATTGCGATAGTGACCCTGTAATAACGGAGTACAGGCACCCTCCCCTCTTTGCAATAAAAATGAAATGTAACGTTTTATTTAACTTTATCCAGTGCAAAGGCTCCCTAATCACCTCCTACAACTTAATTAAGTCATGACCTCCACTGGTGATGGTACAGTCCAATTCTCCTCATAGGGGAGCATTGGGAACCCAATGCTCATTTATCCAAGCAACCCCGTAGGAATGCTTTGAATACAATGCAATGAACTTCTGCATCATGTGACTGAGCTTTACGGTCACCCTGGCTTCCTGTCACCCTCTAGAGGTGGATTTGAAGGGACACTCCACTGCTCAAATTTATAAAAAGAAAAAAACTTCTCAGATATACCCCCAAAGCAAAAATGCATGCTTTTAAATTTTCATTTTTATAATGAAAACAGCTTGCAGAATCTATAGAGCTCATGTCTGAAGCATTTGCAAGCCCTCCTCTTCTAACCCTGCCCAGACTTTCTGTGGCTGCCCAACAGTGATGTCGCGAACCGTTCGTGGCGAACTCCGGTCAGCTGACACATCCCTGCCAATCTCCGGCAGACCCTCCCTCCCAGACCCTCCTACTTCCTGGGCAGCATCCATGTTGAAGGCAGCTTCAACCGCGAACCGCGGCGAACCGTTCGCGACATCACTACTGCCCAATACAGTTCAGTGAGAAGTCATTGCAAGGCAGGGGGGTTTGGGTGATTGCCTGCCTCTTGAATTTAGCTCCACTGAACTAACCAAACCAGAAAGTAATATAACAAGGTTGCGTACCAAGGTTGTAACAGGAGCCGGTTTCCCTATTTACCACTATAACGTCTTTTGGAGCACAGAATTTAGCAGGGCTAACCATACAGATATCTTAGCCATAATATTATATAGTTGGTAAGCGTTCCTCTATTTAAAAATATATAAATAATTGAGAATACAATATAAAAAATAGGGATTGTCTTGGAAGCAATAAAGTTTTGTCTTTTTAAATATTTTATTAAATAAAAATATAAATGTACACATATAAAACCTTAATAATCCATTACAATAATTTATAGCAGAGTTTATAAGATTAAAGTATATGCTTGCAATATCAGTAAAATAGAATAACATAACCTCCTGAACAAGTCAACCTCCCAGTCATGATAAAATGGAGCAGCGTCTCTGTCTCCAAAATCTCTCCTCTGTGTCCTAATATTAATAAGTACACATATTTATACCTTGGATTTTCAATTAGGTCATTTTAGGACCTACTTTAACTTGGCAAAGATACTAGGCCATAACTTGGTCATTTGACATGTGAACATCTTATCTATGTTTAGACGAAAACGTAAAGGTGCACATGACATGGGAAATTCCCTGACTTGGGGCAAGATGGCGTCCTAAAGTCTGAACACCATATTCACTGAATATGGATAAAAGGTCATTTATTAAAGAAACATTGTAGGGAAAACAATATGTTCCATTTCTAACAAATTGTCAGTTTGCAAAGTCTTTTAAAGACAAAGTACACAGTTTAAGAAATAAAACGTTTCATTCTAAAACTTGTAATATTTACATATGCCCATAACAAGGTTAATATATAAAAGTGTCAATTTCTATGAAAACTGCACTTTTTGTAAAATGAAGAGGGCACACTTCACACACAAAATACGTCACCAAGCTTTATAGGTTTGTATGTTCCTTTAAATTTGGGCAAGGCTGTTATGTTCCTTTTAATTTTGGAACAAGGCTTTGTAACTTTAGTTTTGGTCTTTTAGCTGCTTAGTAGATAACTCCTTAGTTTGGTTGGTATGCTTATGTGGAATAGGATACCACATATGGGAGCTAGCTGCTAAAGAGCTCCCTGATTTTGTATCCTTAAATATAGCAATCCCACATAAGGGAGCCTATTTAGGGAGCTATCTCCTAAACTGCTGCAAGATGGAGCTGATGATTGCGAATTTTATACATCCAAATGAAATTCAGATCTGAAAATATTGTATGAATTATGTTCGAACCAAACAGTCAAGTGGAAGCCACTCTGTTTGGATGAACTTAAATTTATTTTGATCTGAATTCATTCAGATGAACCAAAAACTTCCACTGTACCGAAGTCTAGTATTAGTGTACTAATATCCCAAACAAAAGTTGTATAGGAGGTTAAATTGTAACGATAGAGTTGATCATTGTTAGATGTGTTTATATTTTTTCTGGCAGTTCCCACAGCTCTGCTCAGTACATACACAGTAAGTTGTGTCCAGCTTTTATCTCCCGTGGTGCCTTTTAACTTCTTTGTAAATATTCCAAATTAGTCTGTGGGCTGATATTTGTTTAAAACAGTGTTCTCGTCTGAAGGCCTAATGATATGCAAGTGTTCCAAATTTGATATATGAAGTATATGCAGTGACAGCTGTCACATTGGTTTCCGTTTAAGGACATCGAGTAATTATAAGAGGACTAGGGTGTGTCTGTACAATAGAAATATATTTTAAAATGCAACACTACGTCCTATACCTACTTGCTATTAGGATTCATAGCCGTTCCTGGTGTATGTGCAGCTGTAAACGTATAGGAACTCCCTGATCTAAAAGAGAATAAGTGACCTGCAAGATTACCCTCGTTTCCAAATAGTACAGTGATTTCGCTATAGACTCGTATTGAGAATGACATGCAAATGAATTATTTGTATTGCTTTCTTCCTGTGTATTTTTACACCGTATCCTGTGCTTTCAGTAAATAAGATGTGCTCCTGGCCAGATATAGCTTAATAACAGTCATCTCCGCTGCTCTGCAGAAAGTGTTTTTATTTGTGGAATTGGTTTACTGTCCTGTGTATCTTGACAGGAGTGAGTCCCTTCCTTTCCCTGAAATCAAGGATGCTCCATATTTGTCATCACTACTCAGGGAAAGACGCAGATCCTGTGCTGTCTAAGTGTGTGACCTTCCTGTCCACAAAGGCTTTAGACTGTGAGAATCTGGAGTTAGGTGTGTTATTTTTATATGGCCCCCCTCACCCAAAGTTATTTTTGAGTGTGTTACATAGACTTTCCATTTTCCTAAACACCTTCAGCTCTCACATAACTATCCATTGAATGTGCAGTACTTAAAATCACCACTCTTTACTGCATGCAGGAAACCCCTGTGGCAACAAATGTAGTCTACAAACATTTTTAAATATGCTAGGAATTCTCCCTAAGCATACTTAAAAAAAAAAAACAAATCTACGCACGTCACTGTTAGTTGAGCTACAATGCATGCTTTACTTAATGTATATCAGAGATTTCAGGTTTCATTCAATGATTTTAAGGGTCATTATAGGGACTATAACCATTTTAACTCACTGAATTGGTTATAGTGCCTGGAGTCCACTGGTACTGTCCCTCCATTCACTGGAATTTTCAAGTAGTTAAAGAAATACCAACTGTTAGGACGAAATGTTGTTCACTTGCTGTGAAGACCTCAATACATTTGAAATGCTTTTTCATAGACTTATATCAAGATAACCACTACACATCATGTATGGTCTGGTCTCATCCTCCTGGAAACCCAAAAATACTTGAAGTAGATGCTGTATGTCACAAAGAGAATAATAGTTACCCATCTCAAACTCTGCAAATTCACGCTTTTATTTTGTAACTTTGCCCGGCCCCCCCAGATGTTGCTGAACTACAACTCCCATGATTCTTTCAATGAAACAGATAGCCAGGGAATCATGGGAGTTGTAGTTCAGCAACATCTGGGGGGCCGCATGTTTGACAACCCTGATGTAAAGCTTTTCGTGCTATCTTTGAAGTATAAATCAACTTATATACTGATATACACCCTATTTTTGTTCCCCCACAACAGAATATCCAGAAGATGTTGGGACTTGCTCCATCTCGAGCTGCTACCAAGCAGGCTGGTGGATTCCTGGGACCACCACCGCAAGCTGGAAAATTCTCTTAGGTCATATGGAAAGGTCAAGAAATATCAAAGAACTCCAATCTCAGATTCATATCATTGACAACTTACACCAGTGTTTGTACACCTGCATCCGATTGTAAAAATACAGTGACTGAATCTGTTACTCTCATGACATCTCTCAATCAGGGACTTCACTATTCTAATGACTTTTGTATACTGATCAGGGAATATATTTTTCACAGTTGTATTCATGCTGCAAAAGTAATATATGGAATCCATTCATTGGATGGTAATTTTTTAATTATGTTAGTCCTTTTTAGGGTCAAATAATTATATAATCTATATATATATATATCCCAAAAAAAAAAATTGAGAGCCCATCCCGTACTTATTTTAAATTGATTTATATTGGTCTTAAATTTCGATTTTGGTAAATTAAGTAAGAAATTGCAAATGTTATCCTAAAATAGTTAGGGTGGAAAAAATGATCAAATTCTTCCTATTTCTCATGTTTGGATTTTAGAGCTAAAAGTGGAAGAAAAGGAAAAATGCTTTTCTTGAATCTCTGTTAAAACCCATTTTCACAAACTTAAAACAAAGGTACAGTAGTGTAATACATACCCATACATATGTGTGTGTTTGGTATTAAATGCATATATCGGGGATGGGGGGGGACTAGCTCAGATACCAATAACATATAGTTTTGTTGTTGTGTTTTGGGTTTGTTTGTTTGTTTTTTTTGTTTTGTTCTTTTCTATACCCATGTCATTTTCACCACACTTCAGATGTAACAGACATGCATTGTGATTATTTTATTCACTATGAAGCCTCCTACTATTTAGCCGAATTATAAAGTGGAACTAGAAAATTATTTATGAAAGTAATTCCTATTATGCCACAGTCGAAAGCTATCATTAATTGCTAGTACCTATATGACACACAGCGATTTGCTACTAAATGTAGAGTTCTGCACAAACACAAATAAAACTAGAGAAAAGACTGATTTACATTTGTAGTATTTTGTAAGCTTTGTAAAATTAAAACCCAAAAATGTAGTTGATGCTAATTCGTCGCTAGGCAGAATACTTTGCGAAGATTTACAGTGTAAATGACAGTATTGGATGACGTATTTTGATTATATGTTAGTGCTAAGAATTGATGACCTCCTTAATTAAAGCAATTGGCAACTTTTTGGTGGCGTAAAACTTCTATTAAAAATCAAATCATTCATTCACCCTTTGGGCTTTCCTGTTTTCACACTAGAATGTTGCAGGTATTTACACTTCTGGTGCCAAGGGAATTGTTTTGTAACTAAACTTCTGGATTAAGACAAATCTCACTGAATTCATAAGCCCATTCTGCATATTGCATTTTATAAATTGTATTTGTTAAATTTAACACTATAAATAAAGGTTTAATTTAAATTGTAGTGTTATTTTTATTGTTAAAAGGTTAAAGAAGACTCATTTGGTTTTTTTTTTTGTTTTGGTTTTTTTCCCTTCTTTCTTCTTCCAATTTGTGACTCTGCCTAACATAAAATGTTAATTGAACGGAGTAAACATTAGGAGAAATACAAATACCCCATAACAGGGAGGGAACATGGTAAAATGTAGGGAAATAAAAAGGAAAAAACCCTAACTTTTATTATAAACTAAGGCAACAACAAAAAGAAAATGAAAAAAAGATACGGCTACCCCAACATTAAATCGATATTGCCTGCATCAGTGAGGGCATGTTGGGGTACCTGTCTCTTTATTTCAATTTATTTTTCTCCTTGCTGCATTGCTTCGTCTGTCCCCTCAGACAAATTACACTCCTCATATTGGATCGGAGTTCATGGGGTATTTTCTTTTGTATTTCTGTTATAGGGCTCTCTCTTTATTTGGGATCACAGTTTAGGCAACCGTCCTCCATTCTGTATATCTGTGGTGTGCTCCTCTAACTTTTATTACCCAAGGCACACCAAAGCTCTTCCCAGAATTCCACTTCATACCACAAGCAAAAACAAATGAATATTCCTATTAATAGAAATAAAGTTTGCTAATTAATACCACATTAAGTGTGCCAACTAATAAATACCACAGTAATCGTAAGTGTGCCAACTAATACCTCGTCACGGTAAGTGTGCCAACTTATAAATATCACAATTACAGTAAGTGTGCCAACTAATACAGACCACAGTAAGTGTGCCAACTAATAAATATCACAATTACAGTAAGTGTGCCAACTAATAAATACCACAGTAAGTGTGCTTAACAAATAAAACAAAGTGTGTAGTGCGAGAGAGAGTTTGTGGGGTAGGATAGGGCTGAGTTTTTGCGTGGGCTGGGAAGGGAGCAGTTTTTTTTGTTTTTTAAAGTATTATTATACAACCCTGTTTGAGTATCTGAGGGCGGGGGGACGACAGTATATTAACTGGTGTGTCAGTGGCGCTGTAGCGGCTCTCTTGCTTTTACTTTTCTTGTGAGCCCGGGCACCACGTGGAATCAAGCATTGCTGTGGTAACCGTGGCAACGCTCTAAAAGCTGGGTCTTGGGCCGCCACAGAGGTGATGGATCAGAGCCTTTGCACCCCTTCATGCTGCACAACGCTACAAAGACCCGGGGAAGGGAGAGCCTTGATCACACTTACTGGGTCTGTGTGTATGTAAGTGTAGGGGTTGTACCGCCCCGATGGCGGCACGCTGGTTGTAAAGCACTGTATCAAAGGAACACTGCGCACACACATAGTACTTAAGCTTGCTGAAGTGCGTTATTTGTCTGGAATCTATCATTTTCTGTCCGTTTATAAAAGTGATGATTTTAATAGAAAAGGACACTTTTATCATTGCGAGAAACGCCTACCTGTCAATCAGACCGTCAGGGAGGTATTCTTCCTGTAGCACCACAGAGATAATGGAAGTGACAGGTGTGCTTTCCTAGTATGTGGCTGCCTTCCTCCTCACTGAACAGTATACCAGCTCATTAAGAAGCATAGGAAAGCCATGACTGTGGCTGCAGCACAGAGGCCTCTGAAGTATTCCCCAGCACACACTGAAGTTCTAACTCAGGGGTGGTACTTCCGAATGTCCGAATAGATTAATTGCAGAATGGTCGAAGTTCCGAAATTACCGAAGCACAGTATTGCCTAAGAACTAATATACTTACCCAGTGGAAGAATGAAGAATGTTACACTGTATACAATTTTAAATAAAAAGTATACAAACGGGGGCGGGGCCTGACAGCCAAAATGGCCGGACGTGCTCTCTAAGAGCTCTTACACCGGAGGGCACAAAAACGATAATCCTGGCAAGCCGAATTAAGCCAACAGCCCACGGAGTCCAGAAACCGATATAGAACCACACGAGGAACAAAACGGTACAGGTCATGCACCACAGCGACTCACGAGCACATGTACCGGCCATGCGGCCTAAACTGCAGCGGAGCCTGAAGCCTGGGGGAGGCGGCCGATCGCCCGGCAAGGGACCTGCTTGCAAGCGAGAACTACAAGATGCCCAGCTACCCCCCCCTCTGGACCGGCGGGGGATATCCCGGTCCTCGCTGGGGACGATTACCCCCACAGCAAGACACGAACAAGCGACAACACATGCGGGTAAACGGGACTGCCAAGGCCCAAACAAAATGGCGCCACAGGCGCGACAAGCGACAAAAGGCTCCCCTACCAAACCACCTGGTCACACGCTGGACTTCTTTGAACGTCTCTGCACAAGCCTATGGTATGGGCTCCGCAATAGGCGCCGGCTCTTCAAACAAGCGAGAAAAGAAGCGGCGGCATGGATTCGTCCTGCCACCCGACGCCTCTTGAGTGGTTGCCCGACCCGAGTCCCCAGAAGGGCCCTCAGACAGAGAAGAGGCGGGAGTTCGGAAGGGGGGAGAGAGGGGAACGGCTCCCTAGGCTCCAACAACAGTAACCACATATGGCAGCACAAAATAGCCACACACACCCGACCAACTCACCGCCCAGCGGCATCTGAAGTCTCTGACCACTGCAGCATGTACCCACACTCCTGGACGCACGCTGAACACTCATACCAAGCACCTAACACCCCGGGGGCGACCCGACGCCAGCAGCAAGGTACACCCAAAAGACCCCGTCAACTCCTGCACATTCATCGACCTCAAACGGAGATCCAGGGGCACAGACAACGGGGAGCTGTGGGACCACATCTTTCCCAAAGACTGGACCGTGACCTGCCCCTCACAGGCATAGGCTAAGCTGAGCTGACAAGCGGAATTCTTTGGGAATTATTATTGACCAAATATGTTTTTCTTCAGAATGCTGATTTGATTTTTATTTTTTATTTACTTTTTATTTTTATTTTTAGTTATTGTTCTTTGCATGTGATTATACCAGCAGTCCTGATAGCTGATATATCTCTTCTCCTTTTTCTTGACTCTCGATTGATAATGCCTTTATCTACCACTCCAAGGGGGCCCCCTAGGGTGAGCAAGTTGACAGCCCAGAAATAAGCAATACGTTATCTCCATATCTTAATATGCTGTTTTAATGGTTTAGCACCCCTTTACTGTGGTCATCCCACTGCAGCTCCAGACTAGAGTGCAATTTAAACCCAAGAGCAAGCAGCTCAGACCCATTGTGAGACAGGGAAAATACAGGGAGCATAGTGGGGTATTGGTCTACTTAAATAAGCGTATATTGCATAGCATCCCAAAGTTCTAGCCATATACAAACCTAACCAAAAGTATGCCACCTCACCATGGTTCTATTCGTCCCATAGCACTCAAACCTATACCAGTTCTATTAACCCCTCGCAGTTGGTTTAGCCTGTCTTGAACCCTCGAATAGTTGCCAAACATTATGTACCCAAAGTTATGCATGTCTAACAGTGAACGCTTCTAAATAAGCTATGATTAACAGATACTATCTGCTACTAATCTATGTTAAACACGACTTCATCTCCTAACTAAAAATTGTGCAAGTACCAATGTATACTCCATTGTTCTTGATGTTTGCAAAGCATGCGGATTGCCTTTGGGGTACCCCGTGCACATATGTTATTCCAAATGCACTGCAAAAATAAAGAATTTAAAAAAAAAAAAAAGTATACAAACATAGCCAGGATTCAGCTGTAAGCATTTGCAACACTTACAACAATCAAGTAACATACATTCATATAAAATGTAAGTTACTTCGCCAGTCACTGTAATGAGAGGAATGAATAAGTAGATAGCTCCCTAATACTGTGGGAATTAGGGAGTTATCTACTAAAAGGTTGAAAGACCTAAATTGGTCTTTCAGCCAACTTTACTAATACTAAGTAAAGATTACTTAGTATTAGTAAATTATGCCCCTACTCACTATACTGCGAGTAGGGGCATGTCTATTAAACAGTGAGCAGCCTTTGGGGGCTTCTAACCTGAAGGGGGGACCTATTGCCCCCCTGGCCCCCACCCCTCAATGGTGGGGGCCCTACAGTAAAATAAGGGGGGACCTAATGTCCTCTGCCCTGGCCTCCACCCCTGAGCGGTGGGTGAGGGCCCTAAATTGGAATAAGGGGGGGACCTAATGTCCTTACCCTTGGCCCCCACCCCTGAGCAGCGGGTGGGGGCACTAAATACTAATAAGGGGGGGGACCTAATGTCCTCCCCCAAATACCAATAGGGGGGCCTATTGTCCTCCTTCCCCGGCCCCCACCCCTGAGTGGCGGATGGGGGCCCTAAATAAAAAATGTTACCCCCCCCCAAAAAAAAAATTAACCCCTACCTACCCCCCTCACCCTAAAAATAATGAGGGGGGACCTTTAACTAAGTACCTGTAAAAAAATATATAACTTACCATTTGATGTCTTTCTTCAGCCCCAAAAAAGGGCAAATAATAAATCCATAATAACAGATGCACAAAAAAATAAATAAAAAAATAATTAAAAAAAATAAAATAAACCATCTTCACCCATGGAGGGCTCCGCGCAGACTGAGCTCTGCAGGGCGGGGGAAGGCTGATAAAGCCTTGCCCCGCCCAGCAATTAGACTCAGAGCACTCTGATTGGTGGGTTTAAGCCATCCAATCAGAGTGCTCTGATAGGTAAATGAAGAGACTGACAGGTAAGTCTACATTTACCTGTCACAGCACTCTGATTGGTTGGCTTGAAATCCACCAGAGTGCTCTGTGTCATTTTACACAGCGTGGGAAAGTTCTTTGGAATTTTCCCACGCTATGTAATTTGACTCATAATTCTCTGATTGGTGGATTAAGTAACCAATCAGAGAGTTAAGAGTCAAATTACACAGCATTGGAAAATTCCAGCCCACAGGCTGCTCACTGTTTAATAGACATGCCCCTACTCGCAGTATAGTGAGTAGGGGCACAATTTACTAATACTAAGTAACTTTTACTTAGTATTAGTAAATTTGGCTGAAAGACCAATTTAGGTCTTTCAGCCTTTTGGTAGATAACTCCCTAATACCGTGGGAATTAGGGAGTTATCTACTAAGCGGCTGCAAGAGAAGTCCCTAAGTTCCGAAATTCCAAAGTGCCGAATTTCCGAAGTTGCCGAAGTGCGGAATGCCGTACCGAACCGAAAATTTTCCCCATGCACATGCCTAATAAACAATATTTCACAGTTTTGGCAATAATA